AAATATAATAGTAATGTCGTTGTCTGTTGTATGTTCATGTAACTACTTCGCAGGGGGTAAATGGATCTTCATCAAAATTGTAATGGAAGTTCATTAGGTACATACAAGTTTTCAGTTATGCGTTTGGCAGTCTGTATGGGCGTTTTGATATATATATATATATTTTTTTTTTACAATTACATATAAGGGAGGCAACTTTTCATGTCCTAAGATAACCTTTCATTAGTCATGAATCTACATAACTTTCGTCCAGGGTACGGATACTCCGGCTAGTACATAATATATTTTTTAAGCATATACTATAAAAAGTACATACAAATCAAAAGTGTAAAGACTAAGTATTTCTACTAAAAAAATCAGCAATAAATTATGCAAACATAACTTCTAAATAATTATAATGGATGTTATTTTATTTTCGAATTTTTCGTTTGTAATATATATATATTTGTGACAGAGCTACTAAGCTACACTGTCCATAATTTCGAACTACTTGGCAATCAGCAGCACCCTACCACCCACCATAAATGCTAAGGGATTACCTGCCACTCTCATAACACACCCAGAGTTTGAAGTGTGGAAAATATATTGTGATATCACAAGAATTCGAACCTGTATCGCCAACACCGAAATCCAGATCTGTACTACTGGGCCAACCCGGGGCCCACATTTTCTTTTCAAAAGTTAAAATTACAAATCATTTTAACAAATAGTTGTAAAGTTGTTCAAAAGATGCCAAATTTAAATGTTAAGGCTATTTCCCTCGCGTTAGATAAAGTTATTTTGTTTTATCAAGTTTAAACTGATAGGGAGACAACTTGTTTTTTTACAGTCATAGTGTATATACATATATGCTGAGTATGAACATAAAAAAAAAACACAATAAAAGGAACTTTGAAAATTAATGAACAGCACGTTTGTTCTCGTCTTCCTCCCAGAGTAAAAATATTGAATGACGAAACGTGTAAAAACTTATCTTAATAACATCTGCTCAACACGAGCATAATAAATGAAAGAACACAAGAAACGAACCTTGAAAAAGAATTATAACAAAATAACTGGTACAAATACTAATGTTATTATTTCACTATAGATGAAACTTTTATGTACTTTTAGATAAGATAAAGAAAAGGTAAAGTGTTATAATTATCGCTATAACTGAACGTTAAAAATGGTAAAAAGAAAAATGCAAGCAAAAAGAGAATCAATCAGTTTTTTTTTTATGAAAATGTGTAATGCAACAATATATGTACAGGGTGAACACGAGAGAGTCATGAAAATATCTCATAAACATGAGATTTCCCCCTTACTTCCACTAAAATTTCTTTTCTTAGACAAAAGAAAAAAAAAGTTTTAATTCAATTTCCCTGGGATTCATTTCTTTTATATTTGAATTTTCCTTAATTTTCTGAAAATCAGTTTTTACACTTTTGTTTTCCATTTCGTATTATATTACCAGGGAAGTTGTTTTAATGGAAAACGTGTGTTGTAATAACATATGTTGAAGACAAAGGAGATAGGGAAGCATTAAGTGAAATCGTGTATTACAATAGCATATTTAAACCAGAGTAGAAAGTACTGTTTGACAAGTATTCAACAGTTATCCATTGTTAACTAATTTAGTACTGTAATCCAGGTTCAGGTACTGTGTTTAAATTATATATATCCTTAACAATAACATTCAGGTTTACTATAGAAACCCCCATGCGGTTGATACTATTTACACAGTAAACAACGCTCACCCCACAGTGTGCAAATCGCGTTTGCGCAAATAACTTTATGCAGATAAATTCGATTCCATTCTAAAGCAGCAGCACGCCGACTAACGTTTGTGGTTATCATTAGCAGGAGCTCCAATCTGAAGCTTAAGTAACCACTAAGCTCAACGTTCTTGTTCTGTACATGTAAATGATATATATATATATATATTACATAGGCATGCATATTTACTTAAGTGTAAACTACATGCAACGTTTTGCCATTAGACGTGTTAAAACGCCTTGTAAAGTAAAAATGCGATGTTTGCATTCTTAATATTTCGTGTAAACGGTTACAGAATAAGCTGATGCGACTCGCACGGTTTTCATTTTTATGAACCATTGTCTGAGCATTTAACTTAGCAGTTACTTTAACTTCAGATCTGAAGCTCCTGCTAATGATAAATCTTAATACTTTATTTAAGCGTGTCTCCAGTCTTTAAAGTTACTAAATTAACTAGTCTTTTCTTTTCACTCTGAGGTCACTATTAATCTTATATGACTTTTGATAATAACTGTAGTGATAATTAATAACAGCAGTGCTTTCTATATCTTTCATAAACACAGGCCTGCGATGGTTTTATTGTCTTGAAATTTGTACGTGTTCTACAATAATTTCTGTACGCTGAATCCGAAAATGATATCAATTTTTCTCCATCGCGAACAGATTTTTCACAAAACGTCATAACGCAATACATAAAAGAAAGACCACAACACGCAGTTTTGAGACTAAAATACATAGGTTTCACAAATAAAATCAGGATGAATGAGGATGCATATTCGTTTGACATCAATGTTCTTCCCTTTTCTTCAGTTTGTTTGTATTTTTGCTAACGAATATTATAATATATTTTTTTTTATTGTGGTAAGCGAAATAATAATTTGATTTAAGTAAGAAATGTTTTTTTTCCTGATTTGTAAAAATATTTACGTGATAGAAAACAATAAATATTATTTTCGAAATCTGCGTAGCTGAATTATGGAAAATTCGTTATTACAACCAAAACAACTTTTATGAAGTTTAAATTCGCAGGCCTGTGTTATCTGTATACATTCTCTCTGACTGATTGTTTCTGAAAAGCACCGAATAAAGTAAACATCAAGATAATTTTTTAAAGGGTTTTTGTTTCTTACTATTCGTAAAATGTAAATTGTTTTGTTGTAAACAAAACCGGTTTCTCATGTTAGTGATCAGAGTAATAGATAACTAATTTTTATAAACTATCACATAATTTAATTTCTGCTAACCAACTAAAAAAAAAAAAAACAGACTATCGCAATCACGTGACTTCACTGGTTGTTACAGAAGTAAAAAGACACTTAGCGCAAGTAGGTCTCAAGTTCGGGGTGAAAAATTTCCAACAAAATGCCTGCAACTTTAATATAGCAAAAAAAAGGAATGGTTAATTAACACAAGTAAACAGTTTCAACTATATGCTCTTAAAAAGATCTTAGTAGTAAATTAAGAGTTTGTTAGAATTTATAGCCTTTCGTTTCTAAATCTAAATAATATTACAAATGATTGTAATAACGATTTCTTGCCATTAGTTTCATTGTCATCAACAGTCAGGCAGCTACAAGTTCTGTTGGAAACGTAATTTCATTGTCATCAACAATCAGGCAGCTACAAGTTCTGTTGAGAAACGTGTGTAGCAAGTACGAAAAAAAAAATGTGATTAATAATAACAACTACAACGTAATTCGACCACATAGATAACTGTGTGTGTGTGTGTGGTAGGGGGTAACTTTTGCCAAAACAAACAATGTATTGCTTTTATATATTTAACCTTTCGAAACTACATCTTATGTTAATTTCAGTAAAAAAGAAAACATTATTTTCATTATAAATAGTTTCTTATTTTGATTTTGTGCTCTGAATAATTACCTTACATCCGCTAGATTCCTTTTTTTAGGGGGGGAGAGGGGTTTATGTTCATTGCACTTTATGAAGGGTAATTCAACGTCAATCAATAGTAATTTTCGATCAGAACAAAGTACCTAATTAGATTCAAAATAAAATTAAACCCGGTAGTGAGTATAGCTAACTAAATATACTGCTCTTACGTACTTAATTATAACTATTATAATGCACTGCTCATCAGTTGAGTACCCTCTGTTACCGACATTTTCAACCGTTAACCCAATAGTATTTAATGAGGCTCAATCATCTTAAGATTTCAATAGGATAGTCTTAAATCCATGTACAAAGCTAGCAGAGCAAAAGTATCTCTAAAGTGACATAAAATAAAAATATAACAAATATAAAAATATACTAATAAATATTCCTATATTATGTGAACAGTGGAGCAGCTTATAACTTGTTAAAGCAAAATATTAAGGGCTTTTTAGAGAAAAAAAAACACCTTTCGTATCTATAGGTCTCTATACACAAAACACGTTTGATATATTTTGGGGATAAATTTTTGTTTCTTAGTTTCTTATTAAACACAAAAATATACAATCGGCTATCTGTGCTGTGCTCACCACGGGTATCGAAACCCGGGTTTTAGTGTTATAAGCCTTCAGACTTACCGCTGAGCCACCAGGGAACGTAGGGATAAAATTACTGAAGTTTGTTTGTTTGTTTGTTTGTAATTATGCACAAAGCTACACACTGGGCTATCCGTGCTCTGCCCAGCACGGGTATCAAAACCCGGTTTCTAGCGTTGTAAGTCCCCAGACATGACGCTGTGCTACTTGGGGGGGGGGCAATTACTGAAGTAAAAATATTAAAAGCATACGTCAAAATAATAGCAAAAAATTTTAATTTGCCTTTTTTTTTTACGTACGTAATCGTCATGTGACATAAGAACTGCCTTATGATAAAGTTTTGGTGACCATTAAAATTGTGTAAACAGTGTTTTAACGACGTACAGCAAAATTTTAAGTTTTATTAATATTTTGCTGATACTTTATGAAACTTCGTTCAGACCCTTTACTTTTTAAGGTTGATTTCAGAGTGTGTATTGATTTTGTGCTTCAAAGAGTCATAAAAACATCCAAGTTTTACTGGAAAGCTATAACTTATGCTTCATTCTCTCCTACAATCTAAAACTTAATGACAAGCACCACATTTTCTCTCGAATAGGCACATTATTGGTAAAAACACACCAGGAACCAACAGCTAATGGGCGTTCACTCTTACATTCCACCCACCACACCTACACGTAGCGAACACAGAAACTGGGTGGTGTCGTGATCGATCACAGACAACTATAGGAAATCAATCTATTGATTGGTACCTACCAAACTGACTTCTCATCCAGGGGTAGAGGGGGCTCGGAAGAGCCCCGGATGATGGAGGAGGCTGGCTTGCAGGATTGAGAACGTTGGGCGGATTTCCCGCCGTTGGTGAGTACATCTGTTGCTGAGGAGGGCCAGAGTGGAGAGGGCTCTGGCAGGGCTGCTGGTGCATGTTGGTAGGACACTCGGACGATACTGGCCTGGGAACGCCATTCGGATCGTGATGAAGCTGTTGTTGCTGTGGTGGTGGGGGAGGCTGCTGTAGGGGTGGCTGTTGCATCTTACAACTCGGATACTGGGTCATGTTTTGGTGCTGAGGTCCGGTGCCATTTGGTGACCCTCTACAGTTCTGACCATCTTGTTGAGGGACATAAGCGTTGGGATGTGTTAGCGGCCCATGAGGGGGAGGTGGTTGGTGAGCTGGCTGAGGCGGATGGGGAAGAGCCGGAGGTCCAGGAGGTTGCTGACCACAGTGGTTCCCATAGTAAGTTTCAGGAGGGCTAGGGGAATTGGGCGATGAAGTGATCGGTCGAATTTCCAAACGGTCGTAAGGGGGGAAGCGCGGATAAGTACCTGCTCCCTGGGAAGGAGACGAGCAGTATTGTGTGTGAGCCAGATACTGACGTGAGACTTGTTCACAAGTCTCACCGTTGGGCTGGGTGTGTACTGGCTGGTTGTTGTAGTGGTCGCCAGTTCGTAAATCAGTGAGATACGAGCTTGTAAAATATGAGTTCATGCTCTGATGATTTGTGGTTAGTTAGATGCAGAATCACACTAAGTGAGAAAGTCCTGTAGTTTCAGTTGACTGCGCAAGCGCGATGAGTTGGGATTCGATAGTTCTTGGGTAGGATAACCAATGGGAGTTCTCCAGCTATCCACTCCTGAAAAAAAGAAGAGACGTGACAAAAATTAGAAAGTACTAAAAATAATGTATATTGACAACATTAGGACAACATGTGTAAAGCAAGACTTTTGATACTATAACCGTTTGTTAACAGCCACGAAACGTTATTAAATTTGAATAAGAGACAAGAACAGCTCCGACCAGTGGGGAGTGACCAAAGGTTACAATGGGCTGGGTAGAGGGGTAGCAATTAATTTTAACTTCTGGGCTTCTCTTAACCATTCAATTAACCATTTTGTCTGGAATACTATCTCGTTAAATTAACGAAAATTACAATAAAAAAAACACATTATTTTGAAACAAAACTTTATAGAAAACTCCCCAAAAATATTTTTCTTGGCTGATATTATATATATATTTTTTCTTAAACACAATAAATTAGATTATAACACCAACTTCTCTCAAGTCGCTCTGTTCCGAATCTTGTTCATGAATTTCATTTCGTGCATTCCTGCGTGAAAGTTATCATAATGTTGCCTGCTGCTGTTGAAAAAAAACATAAATTCATTTTCTTAAGATAGTGTAGAGTCCTTATATCACGGCTATTGTCGTTTCTCACGCGAACTCTCGTGAAACTACTTGTCATTTTAAGCAAAATACTCACCAGAATGAAACTTCGAATGGAAAAAAGAAATTTTCAGTTTCATTCACTTATAAATCTCTGACTAAAATCTCTGACTAATTTCAGTTTCATTCACTTATAAATTCTCTGACTAATTCTAGAAACGAAAATAAGTTATATAGTTTTTTTTTTCAGATCACTGGCTCTTTTCTCTCTAGCTTTAGCTTCACACTCTTTCAATGTACAACATTAACATCAGAAAGCTGATACAAATTAAAAGAAGTAAGGCGTGTATCTGTAAATAAAATCAGATTGACAAACATGGCTCTTGGGCACTAATCCCAGCCTTTCCAATAATCTTATCTGGATAATCAATCTTCTTTGATTGCATGGAACACCAATAAACGACTATTTAAGTAGATTGTTAGAGCTAACTTCAGCTGCCAATGAAATGACTCTTATCTACTCGTTACAGAGAATTTTGTGTTTAAGAGATTCTTATTGCGATTAGTTGTTCGATAAATGAGCGTAATGCTCCAATTACAACAGCAATATGCCGCGTTTCATAAAACACAAGTGTTTGTTTGTACCTTCGAGGAAAAATATGTTTTTAGGAAGACTTTTGGGGATCAGAACACGTGTTATATCCTACATTTTAGTCGTGAATGATTCGTATAATGGTAGTTCGTATTGTATCAAGAAAATTATCAACTTATCCAGCAACTGTACTTACATTTCAACTGAAGTCAGTTGATGTGTAAACTGTTAAGATTAGAACTTCTTCCCTAAAAACTGAGTGAAATAACTCACTACTCTGTTGTTAGACTACACTTGTCGCACGTGGTAGGCTATAGTCAGCCAGGACCTTGTTCCCCTTTCAAGCTACTTGCGAACTTTGTGGTTGAGAATTTTCATGCACCCTACACATCGCCATTACAAGTTGAATCTGACCCATGATTTTCAAAACGTACTTCAGAAATCCCCATAAAAATTGCCACGATTCTTCAGTTGCCCGTCAGGTTCCACGAGCCTGTGATTGGTTGCAGATGCTCACGCCTCTGTGATCAGTCCTGTTTCATTTTTTTGTTCATACCAAATTACAGCGGGTGCATTATTGATGTGAACCATAGGAATCAAATGCGCATGGAGCCAGCTCTCGAAAAGCAAAACTTTCTACAAGATTACAGTACAGTCACGTCAGGAATACGCCGGTTTTTGTTTTGTTTTTTTTTGTTTTTTTCAGCAGGTAAATCAGAGATGATCATACTTTCATCTTCAATAATAAAAGGGTCTTTGTCAAGTATGAGGAAAATCTTTGTTAGTGTTTGCATTTTAAGAGTGGTTTTGTTTGCTGAGGCGTTGGAGTATCCAAAGAAACCTCTCTCGGTTTTCCACCAATGACAGGGCAGGTTGCAATGGTACCAAAATTGCAGGTAATTTTATCTCGCTCTAGCAATTACAGATATCATGCAAGTGTACTTTTATACATCCCAGATAAGGATTTTTTTTAATATAACCTTATAGGAATATTCTGATTATACGTTTGTTTAATTATTCTGCTGTTTTTGTCATTCGAGTTAATTTATGTGTAAATAATAGGGCGGAATTTCTACAAGGCAGAGAAGAAACCAAAAAGAACAAGATATATATATATACTGATTTAACAAATAAACCCATAACAAATAAACCCAAAATCCTTTATGTGAACGCTACTTGCCATAACACTGGAGCAAGAAATAAAACAAATATTCAGAATATTTTTAGTAATTTTTGCATTCAGTTTGTATTGTTTCTGATTAAAAAAAAAAGACAAACAATTATTTTATAACATTGAATAACATTGTATAACATTGAAATAACCCACGTGATAACTCTCTCTTGCTAATAATAATTTCAGACGTACGATGAGTTAAACAGCGACAAAAGACTTATTGATTTTATTCTTTTTGCCAATTTTGTCTGTAATTATTGCATATGATCCTGTTAGTCCTTTGAAAAATATGTTTTGTACAAGTAATGTAAAATGTCTATATATATGTTCATATATATATGTATTTCGTTATATAAATAACGTGAAAATACTATTACTTGCAGGTATATATGTATATATATATATTGGTCTTTGAGTGACGTGAAGGCATTGTAACTTGTGTGTATATACATAGTTGTATTTTCGTCTATGAGTGACGTGAGGGCACTGTTACTTGTATGAATATACAGATATGTGTTTTTCTCTATGAGAGACATGAAGGCACTGTTACTTGTATAAATATACAGATATGTGTTTTTCTCTATGAGAGACATGAAGGCACTGTTACTTTATAAATATACATATTTGTATTTTATTTCATGAATGATTTGAAGGCACCGTTGAATGCATGTATCTGTGATTATTGCAAGTAAAACAGGAAATGACCATTATTCACAAACAAACTGATCATCAGAGAAAATATAATCCAAATAAAAAGAAAACGATATAAGCCAGATGTGAACATTGAAAACTGTCAACCGTATTTAGAAGGACATCACTAACATGAACTGTGGACCAGCTTTCCTAACATGTGATATTTATTAACGTGCAAGTAACTTGTAGGATACTTGGACACTTTTAAACATAATTTGCTTGTATTTACCATTTGTTTTTCAAACCCCTGTCTTGTAATGTCGTTTCGATGTAAACAGGTTGTTTACATTTCTACGTTCCCATAAAAAGCTTTTCGTAGAGGTCCTTAATTATAAGATGGTTTCGTGTGTGTATTACAGAATACATCAATGGGTACAATAAACACCCATCTGTACAAACAACAAGCAGTGTCGACCAGGCAGTTCTAGCACATTTCAAGCCATGTTTATGACAAACCAACTTTTACAACAGGCTTTAAATAACTTTAGGAGTACTCAACCTGTTAGCACGTGTACCGTGACATCATCATTAGGTCACTGGGCTGGGAGTGGTAGCCGCGACAACGGCAGGTCCTTCCAGTCCACGTGGCAGAAGAAAGTGAAGTTATGAGGCCTCACAAGATCTCCTTGGAAGGCTAATTCACGTGATTTCTTTTTTTGATCCAATGCTGATACTCCAAGTTCCGAGTGATGACAAAGTAATATGTATTGACACGATTATTCGAAGATGTAAGCTCAGCTATAAAGCTTATCGTGTATTCAAATCTTATTTACGAGCGTGACACGTGTTTCGACTGCAGAGAGTGACGTTTAGTACCAACATCAAAGTAAAAGAGCTTGATAAAGTTTCACGTAATATCGCACTTGAAGAAGCGATGTAAAGAACACAGTTCTGAGGCTGCCAACAGTGTATAATTGACCGTAAATAAGTTGAATGGCTGGACTTAACACTCAAAAGTATACAGACTCTACCTGAACACAGTTGTTTAAAGTGTTCTCAGGAAAATTAAAAACTTGTCTCATCTTTGCACTCTAGCAAGCTTTTTCGACGAGATATTAGTAAATCTATTATTTTCACTCG